GCCCTCTCGCAGCCCAGAGGCGCGGCGAACGGAGCGAACAGTCCCGAAGAAATGCGCGGAGCAGTCCGGCTGCTTCCCGCCCTTTCCCTAACCCCACTTCCACCTCCTCCGAGGGGGTTTCACCCCAGCTAAAAACCCCTGCCTTCCCCCTCTCTGGGGCTGAACGTACACATGGAAGGCGATTTTGAGGAGGAATGTTTTGTGGATTCTGCTTTAATTGCTATCGGAGTGTAACATCGCTGCCGAGCTCCTACAGCTCCACCTGCAGCTCGTTCCGAGCTGTGCTGAGCAGCGGAGCCTGCCCGGGCTCCTCCGGTGCTCCGGATCCCGATACGCCCTTGGGCTCAGGGCAGGACGCTGCCTGCAGCGCGGTCACTGCCCCCAACCCGCCTCTCTCGCGCCTGGAGTCAGCTCTTCCTTTCAAAGATCAATAAAAAAGGGAGCGTGAAGGAACACAGAGTGTGCTGACTCGAGTCTCACATCGTGCACGCTTCTGCTTTCCCAGGAGGAACAGAACAGAGAGCCGGCTCCTCCTGAACTGTTAGCACCTGCCCAGCACAGAGCCCAGCCCGGGGAACACAAACAGCAGCAGCTGCTGGCAATGAGCGGGAAGAGCAAAGCCTGGGAGTGCTCCCATCTTGGCAGCCCCAAAGACACCAAAGCTGAGGCCTCACCTGCAGCACGGGCCAAAGCCACAGCCCTGAGGCAGCAGAGGTCTGCAAACAGCACAACATGGGCCCAACTATTTTGAAGAACAAATGTTAACCTTTATTGACAGTAAACAAGGCTGTTCTTTCCAGCAACAATTGCAGCAGGGTCTAGAACAAAGTACAACAGAGAGACTGAGTAACTGTAGGTGAGCTCTGAGCAGAATCACCTTCTCTTACATGTATTGTGTACTTGTTCCTTAATATAGAAAATGGGGATTCTTTTTCTCCCCATTATTTAGTAATGACTTGGCCATTTCACACCTCCCTCATGAGGAAAATAAAATTATTATAAGTCATCATCTCCCATACAAAAACAGCAGGAAAAACATACTGTAATAGGAACAATTAGGACTACGGAGCCCACGCACCACTGGAAAACCTAACAATCACTCCACAAGGAAAGCACAACACATTTCAAGGCTGTTAAAACCTTACTGACTGAAAACGCTTTCAAACATAAGATTTTAACATTTCGGGGGTGAGTTCCTGTCCCTATCTGCAGCCCTGTGAAAGTCAGACAGGAGATTAACACAAAGACTTTTTCCTTTCTGCAGGAAACCTGGCAGTGGCACTGCTAGGAGGTACCCAAAGCAAGGATGGACAGACACAATTTTTGGGATTCTGGGCTGTGATTTCACACCTTCAGCTCGCTGCAGCTTCCTGCAGTGCCATGAGATTGTGCAAAAGGGATTGGTGTGAGAAAAAGACTAGGCACAGTCTGGTTGTGTCAGGTTTCCAGCCCAGAAACCATCAGTGCTGGGATGCAGAAAGGAGCCCCCAGACAGGAACCATCAGTGCTGGGATGCAGAAAGGAGCCCCCAGACAGGAACCATCAGTGCTGGGATGCAGAAGGGAGCCAGGGCTGGGATTTCTGGATGGATCAGAGGCTACACAAGGCCTGGCCGGTAGGTGTCAGCTGTGCACCGAAGGTGTGTGACTGTGCTCTCCACACAGTTCAGCAGCGAAGCACTCCAGATGTTGGAATCCAAAATGCAGGGAGCACTCAGAACTTTGGGCCTGTAAGCCAAAGCTTAGAATTAAACACAGGATTTGATTTGAGACCTTGGAAAAGGCTTCCAAACTGAGGTGCTAGAAGTGAGAATGTGGATTTATAGTTTAAAGCAGAGATATATAAAAAAAAAATTAGAGTTTAAGATGCAGAAAAAATAAAAGTAGTTAGTTTAGAATGCAATACTCTAGGTTTGTGTGTCATAACATGACTGGCAAAGAAAACTTACACTGCAGCATGAGTCTGTAAGACAAAATATTTAAAACTGGGACAAAACCATAAATATCCTTGCTAACAGTGTTTTACTGGTCAATAAAGCCTTAAAAAGTGTTATAACTAAACACATTGTGACCTCCTGAACCATGCAGTAAAGGTGTGAGCCAAACTCACCCTTCCTATCCATATAGAAGAAAAATAAACCACATCATCTAAAAACTCAGAGGTGCAGTCTCTAACTCATTCCAAGTTCCTTCCAAAATCCCCATATGCAGTAATTAACCACCAGTTTTATACAGTACACCCTGTTTTACAGCTCCCAGTCCTTACAGAGCACTGCTCCAGTGGATTCACCCTGGCACCCCCTGCATTAACCCAGTCAGGCTGCAGGGTGGGTTATCCCCTCAGGCCGCCGGGTGGGTTATCCCCTCAGGCCGCCGGGTGGGTTATCCCCTCAGGCCGCGGGGTGCGTTATCCCCTCAGGCTGGAATATTCACCTTTCTCAGGGCTCCTCCAACTGAGAGTAGGGTGTGGAACTCCTCAGAATGGCAGAGGCCTTCTCCTCAATAGCACTGATGGCCAGGCCACTCAGCACTCCTTTGTTCATTCTCCTCACCTCCTGCACAGCCCCCACAATTTCAGCTCTGTGGGAAGTGAGGAAATAAAGGTTAACATCACGTTTTGTGCCACACATTTAGTGATTAGTTACAAATCAGGGCTGAAAATAACCCGAATATCTGACCTGCTGAACTCGGGATGCTTTTCTTGAAGTCTCCTTACTAACTTGGTAAAGCTGCTCAAGTTCAGTGCATAAGGAGAAACAAAGATACAAGATGACTTCACAGAGGAACAAGTGGATGTTTTCTGCAGGGAATTTTCGCCAGGATCCTGGAATTGCATCAAAATAAGGGGAAAAATGCATGGGTTAAGTATCATACAGGTAATACAACACCTCTTTCCTATGAAAAGAAATATAGAATATAATTATATAAAATAACAACAATAACAATAATAATAATAACCATAATTAAATATAAACCATACAAATATATTTATTTATATTTTATATCTATATCATATTTATATTATTATATACATAATTATATATAATACTATAAATATAATAAAATAAATCTAAAATATATATATAATATATAGAAATATATATGTAATTATATATAATACTATAAATATAAAAAATAATATATTATTTAATACATTATTATTTATTTTTAATATAAAAGATAATTAAATATAATTAAATAAAAATAAACATAATTAATTATAAAAAGAATATAATAAATATAATAAATATATAATGATATACAATACTATAATTATAATGAATTAAACATAAAATATTAAAATATAATATATAATATAATATAATATATATAAAATATACATAATATACAGAATATTATAAATATAATAAAATAAATTTAAAATATAATTAAATATGAAATACTAGACCCACAGAATGGTTTGGGTTGGAAGGCACCTTAAAGCTCATCTTATTCCTGCTTTATTCTAATAAAGTAAAATAACTGGATCTGATTTATTTTAGCTTAGATGCAATTACCATTTCCCAAAGGAGCAGCATGTTTAAAGGGAGATCCCCAAGGACAGCAAATCTGTGTGGTTTATGTGAGCAGCACCAGCAATTACTGATTTGCCCTTTACTCTCCAAGGACCATGCTAAGCCAACACAATACTCTCTGTTTGAATGTAGAAGTTTCTTGGATTTATGTTAGAAAATCCATGAGTTTCCTTCCCATCCATTACCCCAAAATCTTTCCTGTATAAAGCCACATGACATTTACATTAAAAAATAGATGTTACAAGATGAAAAATCTAGTGCAAACGGGGAAATTCCGAACTGTCCTAGAATTAAGAAAAAATAGCTGGACTGACATAGTTTAATGCAGGGGGAAAAGAATGGTGCTTTCACTCTTCTGCCACAAATTTATTACCAAATTGTAAGGTATTTTCCTTGCCTGACATAATTTTCTATCTATTAAATGTTATGAGATGAAGATTTAAAGCTCTTAGTCTGCTACACAAGGAGTGTTAGTAATAATTATTTCCCCTTTTATTATCTCCAAGTACAGAATGTGCCAGCTGTTGAGTAGGTGATTTCAGATCAGGGCACTTGGTAGTAAATGCAGAGTATGAAAGAAGCCTTAAAAAGGCAAGAAATTCCTACTACAAATTAAGAACAGACCTACCTCAGGCACTGAGGGCTTTGGGTCACTGACAGGAACAGAGGAATGTTCCTTCCCACTCACCACTATCTTCACTTCTAACAATAAATGTAAGAAAGCAAAAAGTTACTAACTGTTCTTGGGCTGACATCTCTGCAGATTTTGGACAGCCCAGACAGAAAACCTTAGAACAAACTAAGGGAAAGAAGAGAATCTTCTAGCAGAAAATGAGTGTCCTGAGAAGCACAGCAGTTCAGTTTGTGGAACATCTTTTCTCTGAGTGTTTCCTGAGATTTTAAAAGGAAACACAGCCCTGAATTAACAGTATCAGTGCAAAGGCTGGTACAGAGAGCCCCCAAACTCTCTGCCTTCAGCACCCTGGCACTTCTCACCACACCCAGCACTCAAGTGTCCAAACACAAACCATTTGTATCTGAAAAGTTCAGCACAGAAGGAAGCACAAAAAGAAAGAGGAGAATAAAAAATGGAAGATTTCCATCTATGTGATTGGCTGGGTATTTATTAATTTGAGTTCAAGCACTGCAGGTGAAGTTTTCAAGGAAAAATACAGATGGACGAAGAACATCCTTGTACTCAGCTGAGTGCAAGGATTCACTGCCAGAGAATGAGAAAATAAATCTGAAACCCCAGCTGGCATTTATTCCCAGTTTACTTAAGCTTGGAGAAGGAACAGAGCACTCCAATAATAAACACCATGATTTGGTTTATCAGCTTAAAGCACACAACTTTACCTCTTGAGTCAATCGAGTCTTGCTTTCCTTGTTGCTTTTTCATTTCTTTGCACATTACTGAAATATCTGCCGCTGACAAGTCTTCCTTAGCATCAAACCAATACTCACTTCCTTCCTCATTTTTTACACAGCCTTGGCAGTTGGGATAAAATTCAAGTGTTAAAGTTCAAATCACGGTATGCTACATAAATGAGTATCAAATTTCCGTGCTGAAGAGGATTTCAGCTACTTCCATCTCTTGGTGCTACATTTCCAAGAGGTGACATTACTAGTTTGGAATTCTAATTTAAGTAGAAACTTTTTTTAAAGATGTAAGTAATTAATATAGAGCTGTTATTACTTATTAATAAACATTGATAGCTGATATATAAAAATTCCATCACAGAAAGGGCAGCTGTGTTACCATACTCATGTTTTACACACGGTTTCCTTCCTCCCCTGAGAGCTTAGTTCACAAATGAAGATTATTTTACAAGGAGATCACTCACCACGTTCCAGAGCCTGATCTTTAATCAGTTCTTCCCACCTCTCAGGGGAAGCAGAATCACCTGGCTGATCACCATCAGTCTGTGAGTTGTCCTACAAACATATTTCAGTTACATCACAGCACTCCCACCTGATTATAAGTAAGTTATTTTTCAGGATATCAGCCCATGAAGCGGTTGAATTTAAAAAAGTTAAATCTGCTGGTCATCCTTAAGAACCCCCAAGTTATTTTATTTTGAAAGGGCAATTAAAATTGTGAACATAAGAGCTGCATTTGCAGTCAGAGGCAGAAGACCCCAGGCTGAGAGCCCTGAAGACTCTGATCACATTTGCAGGCACCTAAAAGGAGAAAATACTTCTCAGCATGACCATCTCCAAAACCCAGGAGTGAAGAATTCCCTACCATATTGACAGAAATCCCCTTTTCTTGCTGTTTTGGTTCTTCAAAGTCAGCTTTCCCTTCACCTGAAAGATCACTAAAACACATCCAAGAATTTCATACAAAATATGGGACAACAATTTTAAGTTCTACAGTAATTCAAATATTTCCAGAAGCTCACAGTAAAATTAACATAATTAATACATTTTGGCTATTTTCATTATATCTTAATGGTTTTCTGTGTGATGTTCAGATGTATTCCTTACAATTTAAAACACCTGTGCAACTTTGACTAATTTTTACAAAACAAAACAACTGCCTTTGCTTTTTCTTGATTAACTTCACTCATGCTCAACAGGAAACTTCAAGCAGTGTCTGGCAGTTAACCCAGTTCAGTAAAAACTTACTGCCAGATTTGTTTTCATCTCCACTTACAGAGAGTCACTGGATGGGGTCGCTGAACGTGTTCTGTCATGTACCTGCCTGAAATAAGAAGTTATTTTTCTATCATTTTTCATATCTGAATGATAATCTTGGCAAAACAGTTTCAAGTTATCTTTTACTATTATCTGTATGCTTAATATTATCTCTGCTGGCAGCAAAGTCTTTTTGGGTTTTTGTGGTGTGGGATTTTTTGGGGAGTTTTTTGTTGCTCAGTGCCATTGTAACTGTAGACAAAGATTTTTAGAAGTGAAAGCAGGGAACCAGGAAAATGACCTGTAAATTGATAACTTTTACTATAAATATAGTAAAGATACTCCCTGCTTTGCATATTAGAACACCACAGAGGAAAAATGCCCTTAAAATAAAACCATTGTACCCACAGGGCAACGTTGATGTTTCAGCTAAACAGCCTGAAACAACAAAATGCATCCTGAAATAAAGAAATTATAGGTTTAACATCTTATATGTTCATTCCCCAGTTAACTTGGTAAGTACAACAACAAATGAAAACTACTTACTCAGAGTAAAGAATCTTTCTGAAAAACTGTCAAAAAAAAAAAGGAGAAAGATTTAAGGATTTAAGTATAATTATCTTAATTATAAAACAATTTCTATGAAAAGCATGAAACAGTTAAGAAGTTACCTTGGAGGCAATGTAGAAGGAAGAGAGGGGGGGAAACTTCAGCTCAACTGACAGTGGTGGAAGTTCATTTAAAGGCGTGCCCATGTTTATTTCCTTTCTCATGGTGCTGTAATTCTTGTCCAGTTCATCCAAAGCCAGCAGCAGAGATGAATATAACTCAGCCTTCTTCTCACAGCTATGGATAAGAAAGCAACATCAATTGAGACATTTCATTGATTTTACAGCTTCTGGAGATGCCCAAAGATTTTACAGGGTTTAAAGATTCCTCTCTAAGATTATAGTATATACAACATGAATTAACTGAATGAACTTGAGTTTTATTCCTGGGAAAAAGCAGGATTTTAGGACTGTGAATGCTACAAAAAAAAAAAAAATTAAGGCTGGAAATAAAGCCTGGGGATAACACCACTAATTATAAACACTCCTATAGAATCCACCAGCACCATTTGGCAATTTTTTGCCTGCTAACCAGTCACCCATTTTATTTTAAAGGAGATTGGAGCACGTGCCTCCCAAGACAGGTGTTTTCCTCCAAAGCCAGCTCATAAACCTTCAAGCAGTGCTGGTAGCACATCTCGTAATGGATGGCCAGGAGCTGCAGCTCTGCTTCAATCGCTCTCTGCAGGATGTTCTGACAGCAGCTCGATCCACAATTCTTCCCAGTTTGCTTGTTGGGATGTGCTGGCCTTTAAAATAATAATCACAATAACAGAATAATTATTTGGGCCTTCAAGATTTTGTTTGAGGTGTTTTATTTTGAAGCAAAGAGCTTCAAATAGCCAGAAGCTATTTCTGGTATGATTTAAGGAAAATCCTGTTTAGCCCACAATAATAACTGTGAGGATTACAGTCAGTTTTATCAGAGAGGTGGGAACTGCACAAGCACATCATAATTTCTATTCAGAAAGTGAAGCCTTAAGAACAAAAAGAAACTTGGCAATGCTGTGGATCTACAAACATACTTATTTTGTTTCCACAGCCATAGAGTTTAGGAATAGGAACAGTTTAGGAATGAACACAGGAATAGTTTAGGTTGGAAAGGATCTCTGGAGATCTGTAGAAGAAGGCTGCTTTGGTCTTTGTTCAACTTCAGGAAGTGTTCAGCTCACTCTTCTCACCTGTTCAAGCCCCTGCAGCACAAACTGGTGCCCAGCAAGCTTTTAATACCATCAGTTTTGCCAAGCCACAGAAAACATGAAAAAACCTCTGATGCAGGATCTCAAATTCCAAAACCAAGAACTCCTGACCCACCTGTTGGTGCCTGTCTTCCAACCAAGATGATCTTTGAATTCCTCCTTTTCAAAAAGGAAAAAAAGAAGTCAAAACTTACAGATTAACACCCATGGAGACAAAATCAATGAAAGTTGTGTCAAGCTGGCCCTTCTTGGTTTGTGTCACTGACCTGCAGGTGTGAGCTGAGAGCTCCTGTGGAGCATTCCGTGTTGGAAGCAGCATCCACAGAGGTCTGACCCTGCCACCCCACACGAGCTCTGCTCACCACGGTCACCTCTGTGCTCACTGCCCTGGAGCACAGACACACCTGGGCACTGCTGCCTCTGCTGGCTGGGAATGCAGCTCTGGGATCAGAGGCAGCAGCCACAGCCACACTGGGGACACTCCTCAGGGATTCACCACGCTCTGGCCTCCCAGCAGAGGATTTATCTGCAGCTTCCACAGGGTTCTTGCCAGGGAGGATTTCAGGGGCTGGGAGGTGGGTTTCAGCATCCCCTGCAGCGCTGCTGGTGCCATGAGCTGGTTTTTCACAGCTGCTGAAGTAGGAGGGCTCTCCGTGTTTGCAGGGCTGGGCCTCCTCTCTGTCTGGCTCCACTGCTACGCTCTGGCTGGGTCTGAGGCTCTTTCCAGAATCTTCTTCCCCTGCTGTGATTTGGGGTGGCAGGGCCTTCACCTCTGCAACCTCCTCCTGCTCAGAAAACTCACTCCAGTTGCTCTTCTCCTCCTCGTACTCCTCGTGAGCACTGAGATACTCCAGCTGGGAGTCCTCCCCTAAATCTGCACCCAGGCAGGAGGTCTGAGTGAAGCAGCTCCTCCTGCTGCTCTTCTCCACTTCCATGGCACCAACACGAGCTCCTGCTGCTCCTCAGAGGGAATCACACAACTCAAAGTCACTGGCTTGGCTCTTCCTGCCTTAATAAAAATGAAGAGAAGTTCAAGATGCTCCATAGCATACAGAAGGACAAAAAAAAAATACATTAAATTAATTTGATAATTAAATTAACCATCCTCTTTTCACCTACTGTATGCACAGAGGAATTCTACAGCACCTTCCTAAAGAAATCCCAAGAGCTGATTTCTGATTTGGTGGAATCCCTGTGACACCATACAGCACACAAAGGGTTAAAATATAGGTTGCTTCTATTAAGGAAGAGGTGAAGCTTGAGCTCTGTGCCTCCCAAAAACTAAAACCCCCCTTGGGTGTTGGACAAGGGGGAAATCAAAGCATATTCCTCTTCTTGCTTCTCCAGAATTAAGAAACTTACCAGGGACAAAACCCCAAGAAAACCCAAAAATCCTTTCCATCAGTTATAAAGGAACATAGGAAAGTCATTTAGCAACAGAAAGAAGCTGTGCAATTCACCACACTAAAGCAATGCACCTCCTCTGAACTTGCAGCAAACCCAGTTTGGTAACAAGCACCAACAAAAAGCAGAGAGAAAGCATGGAGGGATGGAAGATGCCCCCTGTGAAGCTTGTTTCTTAGAAATATTGTCAATTCTTCTCTGCCTTCCCTCAGAAACTTCTAACAAAGAAAGGAATACATAAAAACATTAGCTGTATTTCTCAATTATGTCTGCTTTCTAAACTACTTAAATGACACATCCCAATTCCAGTCACTGTCTCTGACAGGCCTTCCCCAGGGGATGGGAAGGAATAAGGATTAATATTCAAATGTTCAAACATTCAAGCCTTCCACTAGCCCAGGCTGCTCCAAGCCCCCTCCAACCTGGTCTTGAACACTTCCACCGTTTAATTACACGCTTCTACAGTTGTTTTTGCCTCAAAAACGTTGTCCTTTTTTACTACACTAACTACTTTCACCACCTAACTAAAGCTTGAGCACCTCTGTGGAATTAAGAAGCCGAACGCTGCCAAAGCACATCCCAGATGCCTGTACAGAAATCACATTATTACTACAGAGAAGTGACTTTTCCCCCTCACTTTTCCCTTGAGAACAAGAACCAAAACACCTCCACACCACAGATAAGGTACAATAACCCCTCCTTGTCGCTGTTAGTGACACAACCAAACGCTGAACCACAGCCGAGCCCGCCCCGGGAGCCCTGAGGGCAGCCCGGTGCTCCCGC